CTTCTTTATTTAAACTTCCCCCCCCTGTGTTCCACTAAACCATTGTCTCCATTCTACTTCTTTGTTTAAACTTCCCCCCCCTGCGTTCCACTAAACCATTGTCTCCATTCTACTTCTTTATTTAAACTTCCCGCCCTGCGTTTCACTAAACCATGGTCTCTATTCTACTTCTTTATTTAAACTTCCCCCGCCTGCGTTCCACTATTTAAACCATTGTCTCCATTCCACTTCTTTATTTAAACTTCCCCCCCCCCCTGCGTTCCACTATACCAATAACTATTGTCCCTACATTTTCAACTTCTTTTTATTTTTAAACTAAACTCATTCTTACCTTTTTTATGTTAAACTTCCCCCCCTTCGTTCCACTAACCCATTGTCTCCATTCGACTTCTGTACTTTAAACTTCCCAAACTTTTCCCCCCTCCTGTGCGTTTCCAACTATACCCATTGTCCCTCCATTCTCTTCTTAATTTAAAACTTCCCCCCCCGCCTTTCCACCCCCAACCAAACCATGGTCCCCATTGCTTTCTTCCTTCTTTCTCTATTGTTCCTTTTCTTCTTTCTTTTCTCTCTTTCTTCTCTTTCCTTCTCTTCTTGTTCTACTCTTCTTTATTTAAAGCTTTTCCCCCCCCCTGCCCGTTCCACTTAACCCCATTGTCTCCATTCTACTTCTTTATTTAAACTTCCCCTCCCCCTGCGTTCCACTAACTATTGTCTCCATTTTACTTCTTTATTTAAACTTCCCCCCCTGCGTTCCACTGAACTATTGTCTCCATTCTACTTCTTTATTTAAACTTACTCCCCCCTGCGTGCCACTGAACTATTGTCTCCATTTTACTTCTTTATTTAAACTTCCCCCCCCTGCGTTCCACTGAACTATTGTCTCCATTCTACTTCTTTATTTAAACTTAATCCCCCCTGCGTTCCACTAAACTATTATCTCCATTCTACTTCTTTATTGAAACTTCCCCCCCCTGAGTTCCACTGAACTATTGTCGCCATTGTACTTCTTTATTTAAACTTACCCCCCTAGATAGATAGATAGATAGATAGATAGATAGATAGATAGATAAATAAATAACGAAAATTTAAGACGTTTCCTATTCGCGCGTAGTTGCGACCATGGCCGCACAGATAGCCTGCTTAAACCAACTCCCACGCATGGCTGCAGATAGTGTATTTTCAGGTTTCAGCTGGGGTTATCTTATAATCCCAAGTAGACTGATAAACCTAAACAACAATGGGCAAAACCGTTAAGCGCAGCAACTCAACCCTTTTTAGCCTGAGCCGCATAGCTGTCGTACATTACTATGATACATGTGTGTTTTATGTGAGGTGCTTTTACACCCCCCTCAGGTGAGCCGGTTACGGCGAGGATGCCTCAATACCGGGCGAGGTTTTTAAACCTGCCTCACCGAACTGGCTCTTCGCAGACCCAAGGGAAAACACAAACAGCGGCTATGATACAAAAAAAAAAACGATCGTCAATGCAAGCAGTTTCACAACTTATCCCTCTTCCCACTCAACTCGGCCATGCCTGATAACTTTCTCATACCAGCGCCCATGCCACTTCTGCCATTCTCCAGTGTAACGGTGATCATCGTGGGACTGACTTTGCTGAGGGCGGTTGATCCACTGACTTGCAGACGTTGATGATGAAGCTACCTCTACGGTGGATGTTCGGGCAACCGGTTTGGCGGTGCCTTTCTTGGAGGGACCCTGGCCGTACGCACCAGTCTGCTCAGCTTTGCGCTTGGCCCCGTTCTGCTCGCGAGCCCTGTCAGACTGTTTCTTCTTCTCCGCAGCGTTCTGCTTGTACAGCTCTTCATTTTGTCCCTTAATCCACCTCAAATGCCGTTCAGCATCATGAACAGCGATGTTGTCAACACCAGTGCAAGACAACAAAAGATTGTGCTGAGGATTTCGGTTCAAATAATCGATGTATTCTTCCTCAGAGTAAATTTCAGTCCGGTACATGTAGAACCACGGCTGATCAATGTACCTGAAAGACTTCGGGACGTCAAGACGGCTGGCAAGATCCAAGTACACCAACCTCATTGCATTGTGCTCCAACTGAGATTGCTCGGAAACACCCATCTTGACCTGAGCCTTGGTACGACCTGGCTTTGGCAGATGTGCTGACTTGAGAAGATCGTACCTTTCACAATCGTACTCGTTCTCCCCCTCGTTCAGCACGCTCTCTGCGAATGTGGCGTCCTGTGCAAACCTGTCTGCCACGGACACAAAGCCCAAACTCAAGGCACGACCGAATCGGCTCTTTGCCCTTGCCAATAAACCAGCTTCAGGGCTAGAGCTTCCTCTTGCCTGGTCGTCCAACAAACCCAAAGATTCCAGCTGACTGTGTGTGATGCTCTGCAGGTACTCGCCACGGAAATCGTAGAACAAGCCCAGCTTGTGAAGGGCGGCCTTCCTGCGCTCTGCAATCTTGGTGCGGTCAGCCTTGTTCACCCCTTCGAGCATCAAGCCACACACATCACATTCAATCTGTCTCTTGAAAGTCTGTGCAAAACATCTTGAGCACTGTGTGACTTCAATCTTGATTGGCACCGGCTTTTTGTCCTCCTTCTTCACCTCTTTTGTCGAAGGTTGGTCATCGCCCTTAGGGCGAGACTTCTGCTTTGGCACCAGTGACTTTGATGTTGATGCCGGCGTTTTTGAAGGTGACCCTGCAACTGGAGCTTTTGGATCTTTCTGTACTGCCTTTGGCGGTGCAACTTTTGAAACAGGCTCCAAGAAGGCCGCAGCTGATGATGCCGCAGGCACAGCTGCGGGCACGCTTGTCAGGGCTGCCTTCTTCTTTGCAGGTTCGTCCTTTGCTGATGCATCAACTTCTGAGGTCACAGCTTTTGGAACTTCTGGTGCATGAGGTGCAGAGGCATACCGGCAAGTTGAGCCATATTTGGTGGCGGAGGCTTCACCTTTCCTGGGAAAAATGCCGTTGCAGTGGGCGCGCCAGTTGAGGCGGCCGGAGATTTGGAGCCAGCCCGTTTTGATGCCTTGGCCTCAAAGGTCTCGACAAGCTGTTGGACTCCAACTTCTCCCCCACTGCTCGCTGCAGAGTGTGCGATCTCCTGATGGCGGCGATACAAATTCACCTTCTTGGCAGTGTCATCGACAGAGATAATGTATTGAGGCGGCACGACGTCACTTGTCAAAATGCCGTCAGAGGC